CATTGCCTTTTGTCCTGCTTTATGGCGAATGCGTGAACCAAAGCTACACAAATCGAGGTGCGCCAGTAGTTCACGAGCAAAAGGAAAACAGCCCTTCATTATTTGTCAGGCTGACGCAGAAGCCAATGCTGCGAATTGGATTTTCTAAGCAAGGAAATCTCTCTGCTCACCTCATCCATGCAGCCAGACCAATCGCAGTTTGGAAATTCGAGGACCTTAATATCTGACCTAACCCCACACCGTCTGTGCGCGTCCACCTCACGACCAACAACAACCGGACTTAGGCGCGTATCGAATGCATTTTCTTACATCCTATAACGTCTGCTTTTACGGTAAGACTGACGTTTGGTTCGCACTCACTACTATCGCAAGCGTGACGCAGCTAACGCCCACAGGAAATACAAGACGAGGCAAAAAAGAGTCGGAGCAAGCCCTTCCCCCCAACCCAACGCAACCAGCTGCCATAACAAGACTCGCGCACATTGGAACAAAAAGGACTCTCTCCACTTGGAAACAAGCCCAAACTTAAGTACAACGGCAAATATCTTCCGTGCCAACACGAATGAATCAAGACGTCAAGGGTTGGGTTTGACACTACAGAAGGAGTGAGTGTGAACAGCACTCAATGGTGAAAGGGAAAGAGTAGGGCAGTCGGAAGTGGCGTCAATAAAGGGCTCGATAAAAGCAGGTTTGAGGCATGAAGTTAGCGTGTTCGTCGACTCACAGTAAGGTGGACGACAGCAGCAGCAAAATCAAAGTGAGCGCGATCGCAGCAGGCAAGGCTTTAGAGGTGAGCGTGGCAGTTGCGATGGATATAGGAGTGACGAAGAGACCTCTTAACGTAGTTAATAGAGAGATTGTGATAGACGCCTTGCCATGGACGACTGTGGTAGTCCTCTTTAACCTCTGCTCCTCTTCCTCTGCAGAAGTGTGGTTCGACATGCCCACCGTTGTGATGGCAGGAGTGGTCGAGGAGCCCTCTACGGTAGCAGACACTTCTTTCTCCTTCTCAGTGATTATCACACCATTAAATTTAGTTGTCTTTGTTTTGGCTCCCGTGGGTTCGCGCGTGGTCTTACTTCTGGGATCGTCTGTTAAAATTTGAGCTGAACTTCTGCCAGTTGTAGCCTCAAACATTTTTATCAACCCACCCATAATATTCTCCTCACCTTCCGACCCCTGTCCCTGGTCCTCCTCTTCTTTCGCATCCTTTTCCTCTTCCAAATTGGCTGTGATTCCTTGATTAGAGAAGAGTTCATTTATTTCGAGGGTAGCAGTAGTGAGGGCAACCCTGTTCTCATCTCTAATCTTGGAATTGTCGACAGATGTAGTCCTCTCCGTGAGTGCAAGTAGTAATGCGGATCCTTCGGTAACAACGTACTTCACTTCTTCCTTTCCTCCGCCTTCTGTCTAACACAATAATGTTTCTTTACTTTAGTTCACTTATTCTCTTCTACGCCTATAAAAACTACTGTTGGTGCCTAGGGAGGCTACCGAGTAAAACTCTTAACACACACACCTGTATTGCCTCCAGCAGTCGATTCTATGGACAAGGGTGTGGCAGTTGACCCTTCATTCAACTTAGAAACGTTAAGTGGATACTCTTGTGAACGGTCTAATTAACGTCTGGTCACCTTCAACATCTGGGCAATATGCAGTTACATGAGGACGAAAGACTCACCGTCTTGTTGAAGTGGCGTGGTCACGCTCACCACCTTACTGGTGTCGCTGGTGTATTTGTGCTTCAAGACAAGGCCCCTTTGTGTCACCACTCTAACATGGGCAGAAATGGTTTGCCCTGGTCTCAAACCTGCAATCACGTAACTTGTAGCAGTCGGGAGTAGATTAAGCTCTCTCTGCTCCCCATTGTCAAGATACCAATTTATAATGTAGCCGACAACACTGCCGTAAGGTTGGAGTGGCGGATTCCACCTCAGTTGCACAGTGTAAGGGTTGATTGCTTCAAGCCGTACGTTCTTTGGAACAGTGGGATCTGTGTATTGGTAAACGCCGCCTCTTACCATTTGTGCTGTGCTCTCACGTATCCACATATCCACAAACAAATATGGACAAAGATTGAATGATCATGTGTGGCAAGAATTAACAATTAAGTGTGGGTGACGCTGAAAACACGAGATAATTTCGTTGTGCAACAGATCCACACGCGTCAAAGGGTATGGCCAAGCTACCAATCAAAATGGCTGCATCAATCGCGATCGCCTTCTACATCGAGTGCAGTCTTGCTCTCATGCATCGCAGTCCCAACATTAAAACAAGTTAATAGCGAAAAAGGACAAAGGGAGACTATAGACAATGCTTAATTCTGTATATCTCTGACAGTGAGAAAGGGAGTTCTGGCAGCCACCACCACTCACAGTGGCATAATGCATCATGTTTAGGTTTCTGCTTTAGCGTCGGCCCGGGTTTTAGAAGGAGAAAATGGCTCTTGTCCCCACATCACATCTGACAGCCGGAAAATATTTGTATCATCACCTGTACAGCCTCATTAGTCAAGCGAACTCAGATACCTTCCACGGTACAACTATGTCATCCACTGTAACGCATTCTTTCCTGCTCATCTGTCTCAACAAATTGCGTGGATTTGCATCGTGGGGGGAAGTGCAATGGACAGACAATGCTTGCGTCCTGTTTTTACAATTTTCGGTCCGCTCTACTTAAGGTTTGCTTGAGTGGAAGTAGGTAAAAACCAAGGGAGATGGGCGAAGACGCCTACCGCAAAGCAGAGGTAAAATGGAATGTTCCCTAACGATGGAATAG